GGGGAAAAAAAGTTCTTCTCTCAGTTTGATAGGATTCAAAGAGAATGTTTTAATGACAAACTGTTGGAACCTTGACAAATTGTTACTGAGCAAAATCATCCAACACTGATTTTGCATCATGACAATGTCTGTCTTATTTTTTACACTTGTCATATTCAAACTATCATTTGTTTTGTTGAAAAATATCTCTTTGGTCTATGGTTCCAGTAAGTTGAAGATAACAAAAAAGTCTTTGAAGAATTCATTGGATCAAAGTTAGAATTGTTCTTTTAGGATGGAATACACAGTTTAATTGGAATATGGTGGAAGGTTATAGAAAAACCAGAGAAAATACTTTGATGATTAAATAATGATTCTGGGAAAATATATGAATAAATGATTTTTTTCAGAAAAAGAAAATGAGCTTTATTGAAGCAGACGTTTTAAAATTTGTAATATGTCCATTCAAAAACTTTCAATAACATTTTTTTATTATCATATATACTTCTGTATAAGCAAACTTCATGTATAGTGTGACGGAGGAATTTTAACACTGGCAGAGAAAAATTTACCTGTGTATAGTGCAACTGGTCATTGAAAATGCATGATTTTTAACCTCTTCAAAATAATTACCTGTGTATAATGTGAACTCATACGTATATTTTATTAAAAACTGGATCATTCTTCTACTAACTCAAGTATTTTTTAGTTTTTCCTGACAGAAAGTAGTTTTAAAAAAACAGTAAAAATTTTAAGTTAAAACAGAAAATAATATCAATGAAATCATTGTATTAAATATATTTCATTCTGGAATTTTTTTTACAATTATTGAAAGAAAAGAAATTAGATGATGTGCAAGATGAAAAGAAAAAACCAAAAGAAAAGAACAAAAGGAAAATTTGATTCTTTAAATTTATCAGAATTTATGGTTTATTTAAAATCTTTGAAAATATTTTAAAATGTCTTGAAAAGGTAAAAAATATTACCTTTTCTTGTTTTGTAATACTTAAATCTGACTGTCAATTATAATTCTCATGCCAAACTGAAAAACAACAATAAGAAACTATCCAACACATATGTACATATCTGCTAATGCATAAGGGCACATATAACCCCCTTCTAAATGTACCAAAATATGCTCCACTGCACAGCTGGGCATTGATGCATGCAGCTATGTTCAAAGACTATAAAAATCAATGCTGCATACATTATATAAACAGTTAAGCACACAGGTGAATATGCAGGTGTGTGAGTACACACATACATGCACACAAACATATAGATGTGGGCACAGGTATGTATTTATTTTTATTTTTGTAAATTAAATATAAAAATTACACATATATACAGTTATTTGTATGTGAGAGTATAATACACAAATTCTATATAACAGATTAATAGTGGATAATTGAATGAAAAAATTCTGCGTTACCTGTTTTGTTTTTCAAAAGGATTTCTTCAAACTGAATAACCTTTTTATTGGTGAAATCATTTGTATGTATATGCATATGTCACACTTTTTAAGATGTTTTATATTCTTAAAAATCTTTATATAATCTTGTAGTATAATTTGAAAATGTTGAAGACAAATAAAGATTTTTATGAAGAAAATACAAAGAAACTTGGAAAGTAGTCTGGTAAAATGCTTGCACTTTTTAAGACAGCTATGTGGTACAATGGTCTTTTCTAATAATAAATCCACCTAATAAATGCTGGTAATAAATCTGCTGGTTAGTTTTTAAAATTATTGTCCTAAAATGTGATATTTGTAAAAATCTTCAGTTCTTATGTAAACTTTTATATTAGTTTTTAAATCTGACTTATTGTGTTAAGAATCCTATTGCAATTATAAATTTGCCTAGTTGTTTGTTTGCTCATATTAAGATAATTGTTTATATATAAAACTACTGCAAAAGATGCTCAATGTTACCTTGCCAAATTTGCACAAGACAGTGTAAGACCCTACCAGAACTAAAAAGCCACATCCACATATTTGAGGATGGATCAAGTGATGACATTGATTGAAATTGAGTCACAGACACCATATATATATATCTTATTTTTTCTATATCAGTATGTCAGTATATATGTGTATGTTTATTCATATGCCTATCTTTTTATTATATATGTCTAACAATCAGTCTATATTTATACACTTATAAAGATAAATATTTGATCTTGCCAATAAGCCTGACATAATTCTGAAATATATCTTTCCATTAAATTTTTCAAAGATAATGGTTGACAATCTCACATTACACTTAAATGTAAAATTATTGGTAAATAGATAAGTATATACATAAATAAGAAAGCAATCCTTAAATTTACATGTATTTATTTATTATATATATATATATATATATATATATATGCACATATATTATAATTAGACAAGAATACTTCATGTAAATACATATTCAATTAAATGGGCAGGAAATATTTGTTAAGCCTTTTGGAGAGTTTCTTTTGGTGTTGAGTAAGTTGTTTGATATCGGGCAGATACTTGGAGAGGAACTTGCTGAAATTATTTCTTATATATATATATATATATATATATATATATATATATATATATATATATATATATATTTATATATATGTGTGTATGTGTGGGTGTCTGTAAATCAGTTAAAAGTGATGGAAGCTCATAAGAAACAAGAAACCAACCTTTAATAACAATAGCTATGAACATGGCTACACAGTACTGGGTGTATTTGAAAATTATGAAGATTTTTATTTTCAGCAACTTTTATACCATCTATAATAGCATTTACCCATCATTTATAGTAGTAACAAAATATAAACCTTGAAAATGACTAATAGAAAGTTCTTCAAACCAACAAACTTTTAGGAAAATTTTTACATTCATCAAGTCCAAAAGCAAAGAAACTTGTATGCATAGAATAAAAGTAAAACATAATAAAAATAAATAAAAACATTATATATATATATATATATATATATATATATAGGATTATATTTAAATCTGAAAATTTTTGTTTTTGTAACTGCATAGATATAAAAAATAAACAGATTCACATGCATGTATACTACTAACTAGCTATACAAAAAGTTTGTGGGTGTTTGTGTGAAGTATATCAATATATCAGTAAACAAATCTACAAATTGCTGTTTTATTAATCATCATTTTTTTTCTACTTTTTCTCATATATTTTTTCTAAAAGAAGAACATTTTAAATAATAGCAAGTACAATAATCTCTTACAGCAAAACAAAGACAAGTATAAATAATGTAGACAAATATAAAATGGTCAATAGGTGAGTGTCATTTTTCTACATTTGGATTATGATTCACATCTGTTTTAGAACCTTTTCAAGAAAATGATATTCTGCAGACATTCTGAAGATAATATTTGCAAAAAACTTCTTGAATGAGTAAAAATATGTAAAGAATTACAAAGAAAATTCATTTGAATAAAAAGGATTATGGTGCAAGGAAAGAGTGTTTAATCTACAACTTACAAGTTAGAAAATATATTGGAGCATTTTTTAGAAATGTCAACAGAATTCTCAGTTTTGAACTAAGAGAAATTTGTAAAAATCTCATAGTTTTTCTATAAAGTGTAAATGCTTGAAACATTCAATTTCTCTCCTAAGTAGGTCCAGAGTGTATAGGATTTAATTATAAATAAAATCAACACCTCAACTGTAGAGTTTCATAGATTAACTTTTTTGGTAATTTTTTAATCCACTCTTCAGGAGCTTTCACCAATTAACTGCCAGTTTTTCTCATTGTGCAAGTTTGATAATCTAATCACATTCTATGCATACATAATATATATATATATATATATATATGTGTGTGTGTGTGTGTGTGTGTGTGTGTGTGTGTGTGTGTGTGTGTGTGTATTCAGTTATATATACAGATGTAGTTAAGCACATAATAATCATATATGCAGAGACAAACTATAACTGAAAAGTGAAAACAATCTCATGTGCAATTGTAAGCCTTCTATGAGGGTGTATTGAAAAGTTCTTGACCTGACTAAGAAGACTAAGAATTATTTCTCCCAAATTTTTGTTTGGAAATTTGATCATGTTTTGGGAAGTGGTCTCTCTAAGAACTTTGCAACGTTCCCTAACAGATCTTCATACTATTGCATAGCAATGATATCACACATGATGTATGGAAAATTAAAGTTTGGTGCAAAAGTTTTGGAATAAGCTAAAATTTGTTTGGATTAAGAAACAATAAACAAAAGAAACCCCGGCATATACGGAAAAATATGGAAACTAATTCACTTTTTTATTGATTTTTTTTTTTTTTTTGTAAAAAACGGAATTTATTTTTAAATGTTGGGAAATTCAAAGCAATAGATAGAATCATTTTGGGGATATTATGTGATATTTTTAAGTAAGACGATTAAAAAACTGTAACAGAAACTGATAAATTTGCTAATAGCTGTCATTATGGGTAGCACGGAAAATTAAAATAAATCAACAATAAAATGTAGTTAAAAGTGACAAAATTTTGACAGAAGAAAAAAGTGAAGAAAAAGATTGATTAAAAATGGAGAAACACAGTTAAAAATTGAAGATTGCAAATGAAAAATTAAGTGGGCCTGGGAAAAAAAAAGCAAGAAAAAGTAAATAAGAAGAATTGCATGCAATTGAAGTAGAAAAAGAGAACAAAGAAAGATATGATGAGTAAGAAGAGAATTATAAAAAAAGAAAGTTGAACAAAAAAGTGTGAAAACATAAAATATGAAAATTGAAGAGTAAAAAGAAAGAAAAACATTAATGAGGGAGATTGAAAGATTACGATGAAAAACTGAATAATAACAAAAATAATTTATTATTTAAATTAAATAAAAAGTTACAAACAGTTGAAAAGCAAAAACGTAAAATTTAAAAAGAATGATAAAAAGAGGAAAAATAAGGCACCAAGCTCAAAGAAGAGAAAGAAAAAGAAAGAAAACCAAGTTCTACACATCAAATCTTGGACAGAAGCAATAACATCCATCCCAGGCCCCACAATCCCCAGGTAATCCCATTTCTTACCTCTCATCATTTTAAGTCTGGCTTTTCGTGCGTCGGTACTTCTGTCTGCGTCGAAACTCATTTTTGTACAGGATAAAACAAAAAGTATACAGGGAATGGGGAAATATTTAAAAAATAGAAATTAAAAAAAAAATAGAAAGGCAAAAATAAAAGTAGTAGGTATATCTCCAAGCGTAATGGGATGATTAGCTGAAACGAAGTGTTCGTCCAGCAACACCAGTAGGAAACCACATCAGATGTGTAAACATCACAGATGGACACAGTACAGGATGGTTGGAAAGAAAGGAGAAGTGGCATAGAAGAGGGGTTGTGGAACCTTTTCTAATAATAGTAACGGAGGCGACGATGACGCCAGCATCACCAACATTTCCAAGAAAAGCAACGGCATCAGTTTAACTGGCAGAGACAGGTGCTTGTCCCAGGGAAGCGTCTTCAAAAAGCGTGTCGCGCTCTCTCTGTTCTCCTGGAAAGTGAGGCTTTAGAAAGAGCGCACGGAATCAGCAGCACTGGATAACAAACTAGTGGTTGTTTCTGTCACTGGGTGGGGGGGACAGGGGTTAAGAAAGGAAGTTAAGGTGGGTGGTGATGGGGGTTAATAAGTAAGACAAAGGTAAGGTAGCGTGTTTCTGAGGAGTTGTAGTAATAGGAAAAGCGTCAAGTAGTAAGCAGTTCACGTAGCAGTCGCATCAACAGGCTGTTCATCTGTTGTTTTGTGATGGTGCTGTACCGTGTAGTGTACGGTATTCCCCTCTATACAAATGGGCCTTGTTGAAGCGTATCTCGAGCAAATAGTTGAACAGGTTATGCTCTATTGCTTTTAAATTCTCTTTTTCTCAAGTACGTCACCGCCACCCAGCCTATTTTCCCGCGCTTTTCTCTCCATCTCTCACTTATAATCAGCGTAATACCTTCCCAGTCCCCATTTTAACAACTTCCTTACCCTCTTCTCTCAAACTCAGGGATTTACCACTTTTTTCTTTTTCATTCTTTTTAAGTTTGGGACTGTTTCTTTCTTCTTTTTCGCATTCAAATAAAATTAAAACTAAAAGCTATTAATGAATTCTTTTGGTTACATGACATTTTTTATTTTTTCTTACAAGTTCTTCTCGCTATTTTACATTTTCTTTTGTCACTGTATTTTTTAGAAAATCAAGAATCAAAAATTCAAAATCAACTCAAAAAACGAACAGTTCTTCTCCCCCACCTCTCTCACTCTTTTGTTTTCTCTCTTTTTTTTTTTTTTTTATTTCAGCTTTACATTTTTTTTATCCTTTGTAAAATAAGTGTGGTAAAAAAAACTAAATATGAATTTCAAAAGCCAGTGTAACTCAAATTTAATGTAAGAAAATAATTTTTATTTATTAGATTTATTTCCAATCTCTTTTAAAAATTTTATTGAAAATTTATTCAACTTTTTTATGTCACCAAATAAATTTTTGTCAAGACTGTCCAATTTTGCTACAAGTCATGGTCATAGAATTTGTGGCAGACCCTTTTTATTTATTTGTTGCTTCGTTTTTTGATTTTGCATGGGTTTTTCTTCCTTTTTTACTACATAGTCATTTATTACATATTGTCTTCATTTTGTTCTTGTTTTACTAAGACTTAGTTACGCTGAATTCATATTCCATATGTTTTTGTTGCTAATTGTGTGTGTGTCTGAATAATGCATATCCAAGCAACTCATTTTTTTGTTTTTTCTCTTTACTTTTTTTCTTTATCACTTTCTATTTTTTCTGTCTTTTCCTTTTTACACATCTCCAAGAATATTTTCACTCCCTTTTTAAAATCTGTCCCCCTCTCTTCCCTTCTCACTCTTCAATTAAAGTTTCTGTTACATCACTGATTTATGATTTTTTAATATTTTATTTTTATTTGCATACTTTTTTCTTCTTCAACATCGCATTAAAGTATATATTCGCCTTTTGCAAACTAAACACATCAGTCAATGTGTGTTTGGCAAAAGAAAAATATTTACTTAAGATTTTTCATCAATTTTTTTTTTATTATTTTGTTGAACAAAATATTACCACCAAGGTCAGTAGAGAGAGACTGATTTTGTTGATTGCCATTATAGTCGAAATTTAATTAAAGTTTCAAGATGATATATTTTTAATAATAAAATTTAAAAACTTTAAGTGTAGTAAGATTTTAAAATATGTTTTTTTAAATATTTAGTTAAAAAAAGTATTATGAATTAAATTTCTACTATAAGTCTTTTTTTATGATAACTGATTATTCAGTGACAAATATTTTGCAATGAACAAAATATTTCATCAGTCCCTACACTTAAGGTTTTGAAGACAAAAGTGATAGAGGAAAACAATGCATAATCGACCTAGCAAGCTTGAGTAAATGGATGGTAGAACAAGGTTTAGGAGAGAGATAATAAAAAGACAAAATTTATACAAATGACAGAAAATTGTATAGAGTCATGATCACCAACATCCTGAAGGGGTGACATATAGAAGAAGTGTAGTAATGGAAGTGTGAGTGGAGAAACAGATGAAATGTAAGGGAAATGTAAAATCAGCAGAGTTCAAATTCCACTTGAAACTATTTGTGTTCACAGTTCAACCCATGGGAAAGTCACAAATCCATCTCTTCCCTTTTCAGAAATGTTTTAAATAGTAGGGCTGACTGAACTCTGTAGCCTTGGTTGGCAATTCTGGATAAGGACAACTCTGTATTCAAACCATAGAGAGAGAGAGAGCAACAAAAAAAAAAAACACTTCACTGTTTTTCACAAGAACAGTTTACAGATATTAAAAATGAAAATAAGCTATAGATAGCCATGATTGCCTATCAACTGAAGGAACATGATACTTAGGGAGGAGGGAACCTTTAAAGAGATATTCAATTCCTAAAGTCTTCATAAGTAAAGGAGAACAAAAATGTTTTCTATTAGTAAAAATATTTCACATTACATATATTTATGAATATGAATAAAATTTGTGATAAACAGAAGAAAAATATAAAGAGAATAGGCTATATCTAGGTAAAATTATAATTAAACGAAAGTGGCATTCTTGCCTTGTGTAAAATTTGAACTTGTTTTCTGATTAATACAAATCAGGTGCTCAACTATACAATGAATTGAGTGTATCTGGTCATCATTAAAAACTGGATCAGTTTAAGTCCTCTCTGAAGAGTAAGTTAAGAATCTACATGAACATTATTATTTTAATAGCAGAAGTTACCTAAGTACTTTCTTCAAAAAACAGACAGAATATTTTTTTAAATTTGTAATTTTATTTTATAAGAAGTTTTAGCTATTTCTCTTTATTCCAAAAGTGTTAATATTTGTTTTTATTTAATGTGTACTATATATACTGTTAATTTTTACACAAATTTCCTTCATTATTATAAATGGTTTCCTTTCCTGTGTTTTATTTTATGTTATTATTTTTATTTTATTCATTTACTTACTTATAAAAGAGCAATCCAAGGCACTTCCATCTATAGAGTTTGCATGAAGGGATTAATAAACCCCAAAATATTAACAATGTCAGCCATAAACTTTTGCTTGTAATTCAAGTATTAACTACCTACAACAACGTTCTTTACAGTTACTTGCTTTTTATTCAATGATCTAATTCTTAATAATTTTTATGCTAATTTGGATTTTGAGAGACAGTTTTATAACATTGCACTTGCTTAGTCTCTTTCTATTCCTTTTGTGCATCATAAAATATAAGCGATTTCCTTTTCACTTAATCCTTTTTTCTTGCCCCATAGTAATCCTGACTTCTATTTTATGCTCTTGTTACCTAATATTCTTACACGCATACAGCTTTCTATCTAAATCTGAAGCATCAGTCACACAGGCCATTGAGAAGGAATTTGATTCTTACTGTTCATTCTATTAAAATTTGTGATCTTGGACCAGACTGAGTTAAGCTTTGTAAACATTGATCCTGTTCAATTTTGATCTGTCTTCAAGCTTGAATTTCCAGGTATGCATATATATATATATATATATATATATATATATATATATACTGGTTGTACAACTACCACTCTCTCTCATAAGTTAACTTGCCACCTATTAAAAAAAGTTTCTGGATAATACTAAAATATTATATAGCATTTATTGTAAAAGAAAGGCTCCAAATACTTGAAGCCATTCTTATAGAAAAGAAAAAATTCATATTAAACATAATATCTTTCACCATGAGGGAAAGCATTTGAAGGTGGGTTTGAATTTTTTTTAAAAACATCTAATATTTTCTCTCCCAGATGCTGTTAATTGTCTTTTTTGCAAATTTAAATGAGTATCCCTTATATATAGTGACAAACCATTCTACATGTGATGTCACTTGTATTCAGTAAGTGTACATTTAAATTATAACATTTCTAAAAGAAAAAGTCAGGATAAAGTTAATAAAATCCCTTCCATACTTTAGCTGATAATATTAGTTGTTCCTTAAAATGGTTAGAGAAAGTCAAAAGGATTTGAAAATATCATGAATTCCTGACTGTTTCTCTATAATCTGATTTGGAATTACGCCAGTTTATATACAAACTCAAAAAATGTAATAAGAAATTAAACAGACAGAATTTTTTGGTTGATTTCAATAAAACATATTTGAATATTAGTATGTATATTCTATCTATCGAATGATTTCAATCACACACCAAAGTACCAAACATAAAACAATCACAATTCTTTTTTATTTTCATATCTCTCTCTCATCTTGTGCACTCAGTAATTCAACCTCTGTGCCTCTTTTTCATTGGTTTCCTTACTGCAAATCCAAATTTATCCAGATTTCATGTTCCACATCTTCTGAGGAATTTCCAAACATATTTATGTGGGACTCTGCATTTGATCATGTATAGTAAGGAAATTAAAATATATGTTTCTATGTATGCACATGTTAGTGATTGTGCAGTATGTGTTGCAAATTCTTATTGATTTTCTAGTATGTCAGTGCACACGTTTTTAATGGATTTATATAATTTTATATGGATGCATGTGTGCACACATAAATATGTATATACCTGTTATATAAATATAAGTAAATGCACAGAAATCAAAGTAAAACCACAATGATCTAT